TAATTATATATACATAGTAAATGGGCAGCAACAACAACATCCGGCAGCTTTTTGAGCATAAATGCAAATAGCTTGACAGCGCAGCGATGTGCAACAAAAACAACAACAAATGAAATTGAGTGGGCGAGCAGCGTTAGGCGACAGTCGCCCGTCGTTGTTGCTGTTGTTGTTGTGGCTTAAAACTAAACATTTCTAGATCATATTTAAGCGATTCAATCTAACAATTGTTGGCAGGCAGCATTAGAGCAAGCAAAACACCTTCGCACATGTGCTAAAATTACAGTGTAAACAGGCGCAGGCAGCCAATAGGCGACTGGCCAGTTGCCAGTTGGTAGTTTCCAGTTGGAAGTTGGCAGTTGCCAGTTGCCAGTTACCCGTTTGGTAGTTGTGTGTTAGTCACCAGTGAGGCGGCTCGCCTTGCCTTTTATGTCTAAAATTGCAGAAGTAACTGCTGCTGCTGCTGCGGCTGCTGGTGGTACTTGTGCTGCGGGCAGTGAATGAGCATTTAACATTGACACACAAATCGCTGAAAGTTAATAACAATGCGAGCAGCCACTGAACAATGGGCCCAAAAGGGCTCAGGTTAGCTGAGCAAAAACCAGTGTCACACGTACATACATGTATGTATGTACATCGCCTGGCCAATTGGACACCACGAAACGTTCTAAATATATACTAAAAGACAACTTATTGTGTGGCATTGCGATTGTGATGGTGATTGTGATTGTGCTTGTGGCATTCCTTTTCATTGTGGCGAGTTACTTGAACCGACTGGTCAGTGCCACTGTGAGTTTAATGAATGAATGAATGAAATGCGTTCAGGTTGGTGTTTGCGCTTGCGCCCAAAAATAGATAGGCAATTATTAGGCATTAATCTTGATTGATTTATCAGGGCTGTGATTTGTGATTTCAGTTTTCTGACCATTGGCAAAATGTTAATCCTGTTAGACATTCTTTTGCACTTAGGTGGCAGTTAGCGATCCAGTTAGCGTTTATCGTTTATCATTTATCATTTATCATTCAATTGTTGGACCTTTCACARCAGCGTTGACAATTTTCACGGCTGTCAACTTAGCGGAAGTGTCAAATGCCACGTTGAGTTTACACAGAAATGGGCGCTTAAATTGGTCTTTTGAAATTCTAAACGCTGTCGGTGAAACTCAATGAGATATCCGCGTTAGCCAAATCAATAGAACTGTTGTTAGACATCGAACAATTAAGCAATAATCACGGCTTAATGAGCGCACTCAGCGCACTGAGTGTGAGTCTAGCGTCTCACACGGCAGCTCCATTGACTTTCAAGTGCCGCTTCAGAACCTTCCAATTTAATTAGCCACAAGCATCCAACGAGACGGCAACAAATCAAATAGACTGAAATGAGATCTGGCGAACAAGTTCTTTTATGATTCGGCTTTTATTGCCCAGCTGCTCCCCTTCTTCAAAAGTTGTTGTTGTCAATTTCAATTGCGTTTCGCTTTCAATTTAAGTTTCTAGCTCAGCGTCAGCTTCAGTTTCAGTCTCAGTTTCAATTTCAATTTTGGATTGGTATTTCAGCTGATGCTTGGATTTAATATGTAGATTTCGGAAGTGCACACATTAAAAGTCACTCAGCGCAGCAGCTAATCAATTAGGCGTCTCCGGTTGATTGACGTGCCGCAAAAGCCGTTATGCGGTTGCATAAAAACACAAACGAATGACTCAAGACACGAACTGGCCACACACAGAGCGCCTAGCAGATTTGCATAGAGCGGCCAACGCGGAAAAAGTCGCCAGGCTATAATAATGAAAAGTTTTCGGTGCATGTTTCTTTTTTCGTTGTGTTTTATCAAAATTCATCTGGTCAAAAAACGGGCAGCATGCAACAAGAATTGGCCTGTCCGCATATACGTTTATTGTGGTGTGGCTGCAACGATTGTGGCCCGAGGCATTTGTGGTGGGCGTTGAAAGGAGCAGCAGCAGTAGCTCCAGCAGCACAATGTGAATGTGTCAGCTGAACTCTGTTGCCAAGCGGCCATTGTTTAATTGCAGCCACCACCCGCTGCACGCTGCTCGCTGCCTGCTCATAATATGTTGCAATTGGCAACTTGCCACTTGCCACTTGCCTACTGCCAGCTGCCAGTTGCCATTTGCCACTTGTAGCCAGGCATCTTATGACTTGCCATTAAATCGCAACATCGATCTTCGGCCCCGCATTAGGGCGCTCAATGCCAACCCCAAGCCCAATCGCAGTCAGCACTCAGCTCAGTCAGTCTCCGTTTCTGTCATAATAACACACATTTATTAATTACACAGCACAACAAATACAAATGAAAAACATAAAAAAAAACTCCTGCTTGCGCTACACTATTCTACATACAATATATTTTTGTGCTAATCGTCATATGCATATCTGACCATACACACACTTACTCACACACACGCACACATCTAAGTACTGCTCTATATGAGAGAAAAGCTGAGGCTGGGGCTTTAGAATGTTGTTGCACCACAGCAGTGGCACCACAGCACACCCCGCCACGCCCCGCACTGCATCCTCAATCAACGTCCCGCCCGCTGCGCATAATTTGCAAATTGCCAGCGTCATCGACTGCAGCAGCGACTGCGCCAATTGCTGTTTTAGTTCAGTTTTCAGTTTTCAGTTCTCTGTTTTGAGTATTTGAGTTTTCAGTTTTCAGTTTTCAGTTTCAGTTTCGCATAGCCGCACTCGAATCGCGTGCAATTATTTAGCCTGGCTTATGCCGTAGTTAAGTTGCTTTTAGCCAGCATTACTTTAGTTTTACTTTGCATTCGCACACAATCAGCTGTGTCTGTGGCCAGCGGGCAGTCAATTCAGAGTTTGTTGCAGCCATAACAGACATTAGCATTAACCAACACAAATTAATACTAATAAAAATGCATTCGCATTGCTGTCTATGACTATGATGATGATGATGATGATGATGATTTGGGCCAATAAATGCGGGCCGAGGCGAAAGCAGACACCATTATAGCCAGCAATTAATCCATATATTTCTATACCAATTGGCCAAGTAAGCAATTTGAGCTCATGTGCAACTGCAACTTCAACTGCAACTGCAATTGTAATTTTATGCTGAAGCCATTAGACGCTGTAATGGGACTCTGTTAGCCACGCCAAATAGCCAACTGCATCCATCCAATACTCATTCGTGTTAACTCAAAGGGTTGGCCAATTCGAATCGTTTGCGTGCCTATATGTGCATATGTACATATATGGTCCCGCATTAATTTCTGCCTCATATGCGTAATAAATCATTCCCCAGAATCAGACAACAGCTCGCATACCATCCATCCATCCATCTCTAAAGTTCAATGTCGAGAATCGTGTAGACGTCGCTTGGCTTAAATATGCGGCTGTGAAACTAGTTGGCTTGGATAGCTAGCAACGGCTAGCATATATCTTCGCCTTAATGTGTATAACGATCTCTGGCTATATAGCTGGATGTACCCTTAATTAATTGGTGTGTATAATCGTGTTTCGTTAGCCATGTTAAGGTGGAGCTTAACTACTAACCTATTTGGTTAGCCGACAATGTGAGAAAAAAATATAAAATATGTAAAATATACGAGAAATGACACCGAAGAAACACAATCGAGTTGAATGAAAGGGAAAACTATCCACAAAAGAAAACAAATACCCATCAGTATGACCGACTGCATAATACTCTATCACGATTTAACAATTTCTTTTGCAGATGCTTTACTGGCGAGTATCGGAAATCCTCCCTCTAAACTTATCGGTATATATAAACTTATTGAAAAATCTTTAGTAATTCTAGAAATGCCGAATGTAAGTCAATTGACTTATAGAGCTACCCAGAAAATATAAGCATATGTATATAGTCTATATGTCAGCTTTTATGGTTGAGATATACTCTGATTTCGTACACACCGATTTATGAGTTGAAGAAAATTATAAACAAAATTAAAGTATTCTTTATTTCTTGTAATATAATCTGCATATTCAATTGTGTTCCCTGATTTATAAGCCGATTCATAAGGATGCGGTTCAATGACCCACTCACAAATAAAGTCTTTGATTATCTCATTAATTAATTATTCATACCTTAATGACCTTAACCAATTACAAACGGCCAACTTACCAGCAGCAAAAAGACCAATTTATGATACCAGCAAAAGTGTGCCATGCCGTCGTTATTTCGGTTCTGTAAAATCCACTTGGACTACGTCGACTGCAGCTGATTAAGGCTCCACTTTAATTGGTCGCTTTAATTTCGTCTCTTGTTCTTGTCCAGTTCTTAATGATCTTCACTTTCTTTGCGCGACAGATGAATCATTTGGCCGTTTGTCTTGTCTGCAGTTGAATCATACTGAAAAAAAACTCTTGGCGCTCCTGTGTGTGATCTCTCTCTGTGTGTGTATGTGCGTGTGTGCTGGTGTGGTATGTGACTTGTTAATCACTGAAATTAAAGAACAGAAGCAAGCAATTAAGTTAATTGTTATAGAAAAACAAATATGCTAAACTGATAAAACTAAAAGAGATTTTGAACAAAGCTAATTAAGATGGAATTTTATATATTGGCCTTTAAAGCATATATGCATATAAATGCGATTATCTCTGCTGCTATGATTTAAAAATTAGCCAAATGTTAAATATCGTATAGATCTAGCATATATGGCATAACAGCAGCTCAACCCGAAGACTTAATATATACTACTTCTGGCTTTTATCTGTTAGTAAAGAGTTTAGCGCTTACTAAACTATTCATAAATCGAAATTTGTTTTTTCGTAGGAGGAGGGAACATTAATATTGCAAAATGATGCATAATTTGCAAAAGCTATTGCCAGGCATTAGCATCAACATTAGCATTAGCCAGGCTAAACAAATTCATTGCGATCGGTAATCAATACGAGTTGCGTTTGTGGAAAGGGGGGCAGAGCACTGATGAGGTAGTTGAGGAGAGACACTCTCAAATGTCAAGGTGCATTTCACACTTGCCAGCAGCGAGTGTAGCCAGCGAAACAGACAGAAATATTTGAGCATTTGCAGCTGATTTTTGCGAGTTGCCAAATGCGATTGAGTCACGGCTGAAAGAATCATTGAACTTGTCTGGCGCAGTGCGGTGCGGTGGGGCAACCAGCAGCCACAACAAGTCGCAACAAGTTGCAGCAGTTCCAGCCCCAGCCCCAGCCGCAGCCGCAGCCGCAGTTGTTGCCTCTGGCCCCAGTCCCACCCCCAGCCCCAGGCCAAGATCGAGCAGATGCTAAGCTAAGCTAAGCTGTTTCTTAGCGATTTCAACATATTTATAATTAATGACAAATATTTTGATAGCCACACAACAATTGGCATGTCATTGAGAGTGGCTTCACTTGACTTGGCTCGGTTCGTCTGGGCTCGTGCATTGTATTGTATGTTGGCCAAATCTGTTGCCATTGGCGCACATTAGCCTTTAGCTGATTTTTATTGCCAATTGGCGCCCTTTATGCATGCTTTAATAGTCATAGCTTAATTTCATTAAAGCCCCCCAAAGCAATTAGCAGGCATTTCCGCTAAGCCAAGTCTGTAATTAAGCCAAGTCAACAACAACTTAATAATAATAATAATAATAGTAATAAACTAAAAATAGTTATTTGGCCGAAAACACATAGACAACAGTAGCCTAGCCAGTTCATGAAACCAGTTCTAATTCTTATCAAGACTTCTTCACAGGCCATATAATTACTCATAGTCAGAGCTTTGGGCCGCCGAGCGTTCAATGGCTTTTAATTATCCAGGAATTCGAGTCAGTCTTTGAGTGCGTGTCTGTGCGCAGCAAAACAAAATCTTTATGGCCAGAATTCAGCTCATTAAAAACGAAAGTTTCTTGGCCAACCAGAGAGCCAAAAAAAAGTCTAAGCTTGGCTAATTAATTAGACAACAGCCAACTGTTACTTATGGAAATACCTTCTTTTTTTATACACTCCTCTCTTTCGCTTCTTGTATTCGATTCTCATTCTGCGCTACTCGTCTGGCCACTTGTGACGCATTTCTTCGCAGCTTCGTTATCTTTGACAGCTTGACAGGCAGCCAGTTTTTAAGCTATTTTGCGTTGTTGGGCGTGTGTGTGTGTCWGTGTAACTGTAACTCTGAGCCCAGAGCGGAAAGTAAAAGTACTAATCAACAGCACGTTAAGGTCGTTGTTATCTAGCGACCGGGCGCCATCCGCTGCACTCTCCGACCTCTGTGCACATATTCACTTACTAAACTGGACAGTTCGGTTTGAAGCTGCACCCATATCAGACCCAGAAATGTAGCCAGCTACAGATCGGACGGCATCAGCTGTAAACTGGCTAGCCTTAAGGCCAAAACAACAAAGTGTATGCAATATTTGCCCGACAATAACTTGTTTGAACTTTAGACAAATATATTATGTGTGTGTGTGTGTCTATGGAAATCATCTAAACTCGCCAAAAACTGCTGAGATTGTCATTATATAAGTAATAATTATTGATTAGTATTAGTTAAATTTAAAGTTATTTAGTTGACATAAACACTGAGTTCATGCATGACTTCACTTCAGGCACAAAACGTGATTAATAATACCGTAGATGCAATAAAAGTGATGAGCACCTAACGGGCTTACTATATCTGTAAATGGACTATTATTACTCTGATTTCAAAAATATATATTCAAGTTCTCATTTATCAAATGTTGCCTTGGTGGTATGTAGAGCAGGTAGAGGGGCGTAGAATATATTCAGACAAGGGTTCAATAAACTTTTTTCGCTGCTTTCGCAATCAAAAGCATAGACAAACACATACACACCCACAAACACACAAACACACACACCAGCAAGTATGCCGCATGCTGTTTAATTCGAACTCTTCTGGATCAGCTTTGTTTTCTTTCTTTATATTACGATACAGCACGAAGTATCATAAGATCTAAGCTTTAGTTTTGCTTTTAATTCATGATTCCCTAAACTTTCGTAAAAATTTTGAATGCCTACTTGTTTGATTGACAATTATCAATATTTTATTCAGTAATTTTAGTAATATTTTATTTTATATTTTAGAGCCCTGATATCTTTCATATAATCGCAAATTTGGCTATCTAAGCTAAACTCATTTTTATTATCTTTAAAACGTGATTTTTATTGATTTTGCATATAAATTATTATCGATTGTAGGAATATATTAAAAACATATTTATAAGCTCTCTCATTTTGTTAATATATGTTTTATTTTATTCTCAATATTAATTCTGAATATTCAGATATTAAATGTGAATAATTTACATATGTACAAACCCTTTCGCAGCGAAATAATTTTTCATCCATTTGCAATGGGTTCAAGCAATGAAAGAACCGTAAGCCAACGTGGCATGGGAATGTTGTGGGTGTGGAGTATCGATAAAGTGCGCTAACACAATTTAGTTGCAATTATTAATAATATTTGTTTTATTGACAGCGAGTCAAGAAACTACATATATGTGTATGCCAATTGGCAATGGGACTGGGTATTGCTCTTGCTCTTGGTCTTGCACTTGGCCCGTTTGATATCGTCGTGTATGCCCATTGGCGTCAAATCTGTGCAATATTGGTGTAGTTAGTATATAAATTAGAATGCTAATCGATTGCCATAGATACGCCCAGAAAAGCAATGGCAAATGAAGCGGGCCACAATAGAATGCTGGCAATTCCGGTTAATAAACTTGATTTAAAACCAGAAGTGAGCACAGCTAAGGCAAAGCTAAGGCAAAGACACCAGCAAAGGCAAATAAATTGCTACTAAGTACGACAGGGGACAGCACAATAAAATCGAATTGTATCGAATCGAAACGAATGGAAGTCGCAATCACAACATAAAGTGTGTAACAAATGGGTCGCAAGTGGAATCAAGTGCTCGGCTATGTGACAAATTGTCAAACATTCTCGCAACAAAGGCGGACTGAAAGCACACGCGACGCGGCAGCAAAACAAATGCCGATTGCAATTCATTGAAAATTGACGTAGCGCACTGCGAGTTGAGGGACGGACAGGCTCAAAGCCAAGYCAGGCCAGCACAAGCCAAGCCAAGCCATGCCATGGGAGAGGCCACACGGCGTATGTGCTATATATTTATTCCTCTTCTTCTTGTTCCTCGTTTTCTTTTAAATTTCTGTCAGGTTGACTGCCAAAATGATTGTAGAGCAAAAGTAAAGCAAACTTAACCAAATAATGGCCGCGACCATAAAGTCGTTTATATTTCCATGGAATTTCTTAAAGGTTTATTGCACTTGTTATATACCCTGTAGGTATTTAAAAAAAAAAAAAAAAAAAAAAACATGTGCGCCTAATGGGCTATATAGAATAGAGGTGCAGAGCCAAGACTGTTTTATCTTATGATATGCCTTGAAATTCAATATTATTTAAAATGATACATGTGCAGTAGAATCCCAATAATTCGAAACGGCAAGGCGATTAATTTTCTTTCGATTTATACAGAAATTAAAATGATCGAGAATTATTGAGAATGAATTTCTTTAAAGGTAGAATTTTTTTTGGATTTAACGCGATTTTTTATTTTGAGGGGTACGAATGATCGAGACTCGACTGTACATTATATATTATATATANNNNATTTATTCATGAATATAATTTACAAATAAATATATGTATATATCTTATTCTATGTCAATCTATACCGTAGTCAATTGTCTTCTCTCATATTTGATCTCTTCCGTCTGTCTTTATAAACCATTTCATACAGGGAATCTCTTGAACTAGCAGTCTGTGCTTAAGCAAATATACCCAGTTGTTTTATCATCATAATTACTGTCATATACGTGTAATCGCGGCTCAGACCAAACAAAATACAAATAGTGCAACAGGTTTATTTTTTATATATGTATCTATATATACACTATACGGCTATATATTTATCATTTGTTGCTGTTGGCAGCCATTGCAGACAATTTGTTAATTTTGCTTAGCGGCGTTAATTGTTTTGGCCAAAGCTCAGTTGGTGCTACTACTGCTACTACTGCTACTACTGCTGCTACTGCTGCTGCTGCTGCTTCTATCTTTGTTGCTATTACGAAGTGTGCAATTAAGCTTTTAATAATAATTTGTATTAAAATAGTTGAACGAGTTAAGTTTGGCAATGGGGCTGCTGACGTTTTGCAATTTGGCATAGAATGTGCAGCGAATGAATTACACAAATTGTTTATGAGTTTGTTTAATTGTTTGTTGTCAGTCATTCGATTGGGCTGTTGGCCAAATAAGAAAGTGCAAAGTAATTTGAGTTGAAATGCCTTTAAGCTACGAGTGAATATATTTAGAATGAGTGATTGATTGATTTAGCTGTATAGAATTCCAAGCTTGAAGTATCACGAAGAATATTTTATTTTTAAATCGAATCGAAATTACTATATACACAATTCTAAATTTAGAAATAATGTATATAAGCTTACATGAATTGAGAGATTTCCATTCAGTTCAGTTTTTTCTCAAGCTAAACATAATTCAATGAGTAATATGCCAACATTATGAAAATATGTGGAAGCCCCTACAAGCTGCAGAAAAAATACAAATTGATTTCCCAAATGGCCGTCCCTTGAGCACCAGCACAGTCTCAGACGCAATACTCGATTACATTAAGCCGTTAATTATGACAAACAAGTCGGTAATAGATTGGGGCGTCACAATAGCAACATGCTGCACAGCCTGGCAGCTGGGCCAAAATTAAACTAAATTATAGTTGCACGTCGCCCGATTTGACAAGACCTGCGTAACAGCTCATTTGTCCATCAGTGGGGGGTGTGGCGGGTGGGGGAAATTACACTCAAACAACAGGCGACGCGCATTGCGGCAATCGATGGGAAACTGTGAGATAAACATCTGCTCAATCAAAATTGATCTACACGCCCGTCAATCAAAACGGGAGACAAAAGGCCACAAAGGGTAACTGTAAAGCACAGCAGTAGTAGCAATAGCAATACACATAGATTCACACACACACCCATTCGCACACACGTACAGGCACACACACACTTTCATCGCTGACCTTGACGCAAATCGGTGGCTATTTATTTTGTTTTTGCTTTTGCCTTTGCTTTTTTCGAATGCCTTTTTTTCTGCAACTTTTTTGGCCGACATATTTTCAGAGCAATCGCTGCAGTCTTTTTTTTTCACCCCAGTCTCAACTTCAGCTTTGACTTTAGCTTAGGCTTTGGCTTTGGGCCGTGCAGATTTCTAAACACAATTGAAGACAAATCCACTTTATAGCCGTCAAAATGTACGAGAGCAGCAGAAAAAAACCAAACTTTGAGCAAGGCAGCAAAAATTAAAACTCAGCAAAACAAAGTTACTTGGAGTACAAGCAGCAACAAAAAAACAACAACAACTTAAGCAAAAAATGCTAAGCATAAGAAACGCGTTTGCGCATTAAAAAAAATTAAAAGCAAAAAATAAAAACAACAAACATTTTGGCCAATTTCAACGATTTTTTTTTTTTTTAATGTATTAACCGTTACTTTTTTACCCGCTGAGCTTACCAATGCACCCACCACATTTGTTGTGGTTCTTGTTGTTGTTGTTTGTTTGTTTTCTCAGTGGTTGTAGCTGGATTTTTAATCCCGTGTTGTAGCTGTTGTTGTTGTCGCTGCTATTGAAGTTGATTATTTGTATTTGATTGTTGAGCTTTCTATATGGCAAGCCGTGTTGTTGTTGCTGTTGTTGGTGCTCAGTGCATTTGTTGCTAAGCCGTTTTGAATTGGAGCAATATTGGCGCGCGCTATATGTGTACAATTTTTTATTTTTATGACGATTTGTTTATGGCTGTTCGTTTTAATTTTGGAATTAATTTTTGTTTGTTTTCGTTTTTTTTTTACCAGTTTTTACAGTTCGTTGTTATTTATATTTATATAATAATGGACGATTATCTTAGCCGCACTCACACACTCTGAAAACGTTATATTTAACTGACTTTGTCGAAATTGGATTGCACTGTCGGAGAACGTTGCGTATACGAAATAATTCTCGATGAGTTTTTAGTACGGTCCTTAAATATGTTTTCAGCTGTGCTTGGGCTAACAGAGACGCTGGGGAAACTTCTAACTTCTAAGTGGTTGTCTTAGAGCCAGTGGGGCAGGAGGCAGGCGGCAGTGCCTAGTGGCAAATGACTTTCACGCGACAAACGCAGCAGCGGCAACAGCAAATAATGTTCGAGAATCGAGTTCGAGTTCGCGTTCGACTTCGAAATATTTATTTTTGATGCAGGTTGTGCCGTGCGTCCGTTTTGCTACAGCGTCCACAATTAACTGAATTCCCACAGCGATCAGAAAACTGATAAGTGCTCGCTGCTGACTAGCGCCCAAGAAGGCTGCCAAAAGCTCAGAGTACACCAGAGACAGAGGCAGAGCCGAGTCGAGCCGAGCCGAGCCGTGCCAGCAGAGACTGAGGCAGAGCCAGTCGCAGTCGCCGCCAAGTGCCAAGGCAAATACAACAGCAACAGCAATAACGGCAGCAGCGCACAAGAAAGGCAAAAGCACAAGTACAAACACATACAGACGCACATGCAATCACACACATAGGCACACAGCCATTCACAGGCAGTCGTCGCACAGTGTGCAGAACTGAGGCATACTTATTAATCATTTCCAGTTAGACAATGTTGATATTAATATAAATTATCCAACATGTTATCCTGCCTTCAAAAATTTTTAAATTTCTTTTTCTTTAATCGCAGACCTCTTGAGTAACATTAAACTAGAGTTACGAAACTTCTATCAAACGAGCTTTTGCTTAACATTAAATTATGCTATTTCAACATTTTTGTTATATTTACCAGTACCAATACCAATACCACTGTAAGTCAATCAAAATATCTGTAACATCAAAATATGTATGTAAGTAATAAACCACTGTGCAATGTGTTGATTAGCTTTGATTTGCTAGCGTAGCAGAAGCCCAGCAACAATTACAGTGACAACAGCTTTTACGGATCAACATCAAAGCAGCCCACAAGCTTCGGCTCAGAAAAGAACGGACACTTCGTTCCACAGACAAAGAGTCGGCTTCGTGTAAGCTTTATACTCGACCAACGGTCAGCAACAGAAACGCAATGCTCGTGTTCTCAATTCAACTGCATGAAAGCTTTTTAAAGCTTAACACATGGCGTTGCTGTTAGCTCGTTTAACATATCTCTGTTAAGTGGCATGGGCATTGCATGAAGTTGGCTGCAAGCGCAAGTTTGAGTTGCGTTAAGTTAACTGCGAACGCCCAATTTTAATTTATCGACTGCCGCCACACTAGCGGAAATTCAAATCTCAAAATTTCATGTCACTTTAAGCCATCATAATAGAAATATAATATCGGAAATCGTTGATACGTTTATGGTTAATGTTTATTATCAAGCCATATATCAATTTACAGTATTTACAAGCAATATTAAATATCATATTATCAAAATAAATTTGCAACATTTTGCTAATAATAATAATTTTGTTTGTATTAAATGATTTAACGTTCCAAATGCACAATATTTTAATATAAGTTTAGCTTATCACAAAAACAAAAGGAATTGCTGTACATTCATTAAACAAAATGACAAATGCTGAATTTTTTCCTTCAGAACATCCAATTATCAAATTTCCCGCGACGCGTTTGTTGTCTGTTTAATAAAAAAATACAAATTATTTATATATTGAGCCATTGAGTAGAGTGAATAAATTGTTACTGTAAGCTAAGCTAAAGTGCAACTACACATATATTTTCTAAGTTTTAATTGGAATGATTTCTTAATGATATGAATTGATAATTGACGAGTTAATATCAGATGAGTTAAGAAAGAAAGAATGAAAGAATAAAAACCAAAAGAGACAATCAAACGTTTCAATTTAATTATTTATTTGGATTACTTAATCTTTAGGCATCTTCATCGAACATTTATTATTTATTTATATGTGTTTAATATTTTATAGTACATGTTTCATAACTTTAATACATCATAAAAATAATCATAATCATATGAACAAAACAAACTGTAATTGGGATATATGCTTATGCTAAAGCGCAGCTCATTTAAAAAAGATCACACAATGCCCACAATGTTTTCAGAAAATTGTAAAAAATACTTATCAAAAATATATATATATAGATATACAGATATATACGTATATATGTACTTCGTATTGGAACTGAAACATTTATGCAGCATGCAAATTTATACCAAATTTTTGAGTTTAAACAAAAAATGGCAAAATGATCAAAAATGAACATAATCATAGAATTATATAGTTTATATATATTTATAGTGTTATCTACTGGATATATGGATAAAAGGCAGCTCGCTGTGAACTAGCTGGGATTTAACATTGAAATTTGATATTTCGGTTGATAAGTACAAGTTCAGTTTTGATTTTCGTATACGCTCTACAATATTGGGATTGTCTTCGATACGGTTTGCCACACGGTTTGACAAGCATTGGAATGTAAAAATAAACAATAAGTTCTATTGACAGCTTCATTTCACGACTTTCGCTTCTATTTAAGAAAACCACATAGATTAAGGCTAGCTAAAATGGATTTTAACTACAGAAATCTCTAAAGCAATCGCACACAGCTAAGCGGGCCAACAAAAAACAACAATCTGGGTGCAAGCACGACTATGGGCAGAACTTGGCTGAGTTCCGAGTGATTGGAACTCCAAGCTGCTTCAAACTTGCGTCACGCACTGCGCGTATTTGTCCAGTTCGCCGCGCAGCACCCGCACGCGCTCCGTCTCCTCGCGCAGCGTCCGGATCAGCTCCTCGATGGTGCGCTGTTGCGTCAACACCGTCGTCTCCAGCTTCTCCAATCGGCACTCGAGCTCTTGCACTCGTGGCAGGGTATCGGCATTGCTCTGATGGTTGTTGAGCAAAGCTGTCGCCGGACTGTCGTTCACGCTGACATTGTTGCTGGTGCTCCTCTCCGCCTGCTGCGTGCTGCTGGCATTGCTCGTCTTCACCAGGGGCGACACGCTGCGATTACGTATCGACAAGCTCTTGGGGCGTGCCGCGCGTGACTCCTCATCGCTGCTCATGGCAGTGGGTGCGGCAACTGGTGCTACTGCTGGTGCTGCTGCTGCTGCTGCTGCAGTTGTCGCCGTCGCCTTTGCTGCAGACATGCTCTTGGACATGATGGCATCGTGGCCGTTGTTGCTGCTACTGCTACTGTTTATAATATTTGTGGTTGCTGACTCCAKCTTTTGGCTGCTGCTGCTGCTACTGGTGCTGCTCTCCACGATCATGGACTGCTGCATGATGCTAGAGGAGGTCACCGCACTCGATTGCACTTTCGTTGCAGTCGTATTGCTGCTGCTGCTACTGCTGCTGGTAACGACTGTCGCTTGCTCGCTTGCAAACAGCTTTGAGGTGCGCTCAGCAACGGAAACTGGGCCGCCACGGGGCTCAACGTTGGGCGAGGTCTTTTTACGAGTCACCTGCGACGCTTTCAGCTCCTCCATCCAGGGTGCCTTTTTCTTTTCCCATTCGCGTGGCTTGGGCTTGGCCAGCTGCGGCTCCTCGCCCATCGAATTGTCATCCGAGGAGCCTGTCGCCTGCTTGCCACCAACACCGCCAGCGCCGCCATCTTCACTTAGTTCGCTGGCGCTGCTGGCCATGCCGCTGCCGTTGACATACACCGTATTGTTGTTGCTCTCACCCACCACATTGATGGCCGCCGAGGGCGGTCGTCGTTTGGGCGCCTTGACGCGACCCGCGCGCATGTCCTGCAGTATTGAACCGCGCTCCACACGATCAAAGTCCGTATCCTCAACGGCTATGGTAGCAGCACGTCTCATAACCACACTGCCAGCTGCGCCCGCTTCGGGCAGCTGTCCGCCTAAGAGTTTACTGCCAGTCAATCCATCGGAGACGTCATGCGATACGGCGCTGGTTAATTTACTTTCAGCGCTCTTCTTCTTCATGCCGCCGGCCAGAATGCCGCCTGCAAAAGCAAGAGGGAGAGATGATTATTAATTGAAATTGAAATCTGAATGAAATCACTCAAAGAGTTTGCCAATTTTAAGGTCGTGTTTACACTTAAGATCTTGTGAACTGCTAGAGTACCACTGAAACTATATATTTCTGTATCAGTTATATAAATCGTCATTTCAATTCATCTTTTGCCACATCTCTTATTTCCATTCACTCTTTGACTTCTCTTTATGCTTATTTTTCCATTTGCGTTCATTCTCCATAATTGTCTTTCTATTTTTTTTTCAACGTTATCTATTACCTCTGCTAATTATCGACTTCATCCGTGATTCTACTGCTTCTACTAGCTCTAAGAGTTGCTTTGCCGTATCTAATTCACCTATAACTGATTTATTTTATTTTTTTATGAATATTAAACATTAACTACACTCATTACTCCTGCTATATATGTATATATATAACATTTTAAATTATATTGTGGTTTTTGTTTTTTTATACAACATTTCTATGACTCTTTTCTTTTTTTTTTCTTATTTGAAGCGAATAGTAATTTTTATAAAATTGTTCATTTAAGATTAGTTGAATGATATTCCTATATATTTTTTTATTGCAACTACGACTTATTCGCAGCATACAACTAATTTTTTCTACTCCAGTTTCATTGCACCCGAACTACTTTTACTGTCACTGCCTGAAGTGGTTTTCTGACTCTTAACAAATCGCAAACTTTCTGAGCTGCAATGGCTACTCCCTCTACGGCTCCTTCACATTCTCAGTGCACAAGTCCCAATTCTGCAGCACTTACTTTTTTATGGCCTTCAAGCGAAAACACCCACACATACAGTTAAACATTTAACAAAGCTGAAACTCTAGCATTTTTATTGGGAAGTCACAAGTTAAGCCTTCCACTTACTACTCTAACTGCCTTTGACTGCAGCGCTTGCTCTTTGAGTAATTCCAATTCAATTGAATTTTGCCAACTTACCTGTGACTCCACCCGTGGGCGTCTTCTTAAGCGGCACACTTGGCTTTTTGCCCACCGCCGGCGGCGTTGGCGACTTTATTTTCTCATCCATATTGTCCAGACTCTTGCGCAGTTCCGCATACGCCGAGGCTGAAGTGTTGCTGCTGCTGCTGTTGCTAGTGGTTGCTGTTGTTGTTGTTATGATCTGGCCGCCCTGCTGCTTGCCAGCGCCACCGGGCAGCTTGCTCAGATCGAGGTTCTTGTTCTCCAGCGACTTGCGTTGGGCGGCCACAGTGCCGATCGGCAGACCCGTTTCGCTGAGTATATCATTGAGGGAGTCGCGCGATCCGAAGCTCTCCTTGCGTCCCGTTGTGGASGAATTGCTGCTGCTGCCCGTCTTCTTGATATAGACCTTCGATGTGGTTGAAGCGCTGCTCTGCTGCTGCTGCTGCTGCGTCACCGCTGTGGTGGTGGTGCTGCTGCTGCTGCTGGAGTTCGTTGTGGTCATGTGGCTCGTGTTGCTTATCTTGCGCTGTGATTGCTGCGTTGTGCCTGCTGCCGCTGCTGTTGATGGCTCGTTAATAGGCGCGACTGCAAAAGGGCAGAAATATGTTGAAATCAGTTTAGACAATGGAGTTGCTGTATTCATCGCTGAATGTGGGCTGCATTTTAGGCCACCCAAAAGCAACAATCAGCGCTTGATCATCATCAKCATCAACAACAACAACAATAACAACAGCAACAAATCGCGCACTTCAAGTTGAGTTCCGTCCAGACGAGACAAGTTGGGTCAACTTGAGACGAGTGTTGCGTTGTGCTGTGCTGTGCTATGATGTGATGGGTTGTGTTTATTATTAAAGATGAGCACGTCGCGAGCATCGGCGTGACTAACATTCAGAATGGCAACCGCCGAGCGACTACCGCAACAGCTGAGCTAAGCTGCGCTGAGCGATAATGCAAACAACGAAACGAGTTTCGCCGCTCAACCGTTGCCAAATGTCAATAAATTAACGTGGTTGTCAAACAAAGCGCTAGTGGCGTAGGAGCCGAATGCAAAAGCCAATTCACACACAGCCAACTACAAGTGATCAGCTAGAGATGCGTGCGTGAGACGCACAAACACATGCAACATCTGAATATACACTATGGGGAATCTAACGATAATTACTAAGTCAATTACTAGTTCAACTTTTTAGGGTATGGGAAAACCTTCAAATTTTTCTAAAGTATTAAACTAACCATTAAAGATCTCTTTAAAACTATGAAAAGATATCCGAATTTTTCCATAGAATTTTAAAATCAATTTCTTAAAAAATTAAGCGAATAAACATTTATAAAACAAAAGTATAAATCATACTTGAAAAGCAAAATAATGTGATAAATTATTATTGAAAACTATAAAAGGTTTAACAAGATTTGTTAGAAATTCGTTATTGACTTATTTTTTCTATGTAAACAGTTCAAAAAACAGTTTATGAGGGGGAAAATAGATCCGCTTAAAGCAGAACAACGGAATAAAATCATTGCTCCTCGAAAAATAAAGAAATCAAATTATGTGAATGACTTAACTTGATCTACTTTAACAGAAAATATGCTTATAGTTGTACCTAATTTCTGTCTATTACTAAGTGCCTCAACTAATTCTCGTGCGTGTCACGTGAAGAAACACGCTCACATCTCTACTACAAACGCCTTAAGATAAATAGCAAATGTGCGAGGCGCGCATACATACATAAATAAACGGCAATAAATGCTGTTGATGGCAACAAAAATCGAAGCACACATTGATTGAGTAACGCTTAAATGTGTAAAGGTCAGGCAAAACAAAGCAGCGACAGCAACAGCAACAATCACAATAACAATAACAACAATCAGAAAATGGACAACAGACAAATAAATGGCAACAAAAAGTTAGCCATAGAATAGACAGTTTGGCTACGAGCCGTTGATAATTGCAAATGGCAAAAGCGAATGCGCTGACGACTTTCACTGCTACCAAATGACAAACAGGCATAAGCAGCAGCAGCAACAACAACAACAACAATAACAACAACAACAGTTAAAAGTTGTGCGCGAATTGAAATTTAATATATAAGATATGTTTATTTTTTTTATTTTTAAGTATTGAGTAATTGAGCGTCATTGGAGTTTTGTTGTTGGTGCCGTTGCCAGCGGCAAAGCGAAGCGCGCGCACAAGCACAAAAAAACTAAAGACTTAGGCAACAAACTTGACTGCCTGCCTTGATTTAATGATGACTGCGTTTCATTTTAACTTTTTAACTTTTAACAGGCTAATCATCAATCTCTCGCACACGCATACACACACAGATATACACATGCGTGTGTATTTAATTATATGTTTCAATTTTCAAAGCGACAACTCGCAAACCGCAACAAAAAGTTGCCAATTAGCTAAACTCCATGGCTTCGGCCCATGTGGCAAATGCAGTTGCAGAAAGCAGCAAAAGAAATCCGCAAGAACGGTAATTGTAGCACACGCACCAATCACAGCAGCACCAGAGAAAGACAAAAAAAAATTAAATAAATAAAAATAAAAATAAACTTGACGCCGCACCAAAAAGAAATATATAATTGAATAACGTAAATGGTCAAGAAATCAAAACGTACTGAGCCAAAAAGGTAAACAAAAATGCTGGCAAAGGTACAACAAGCGCTGCTCGGACTTGGGAGAGCCACAGTCCAAGAGAGAGAGCGATAGAGGGAGAACAGCTCTCTTGGCAACATTGTTGATAAGCCAAAAGCTAAAACAATCAAACAATGATGGAAGGGTGCAGATAGAGGAGAGCAAAGATCGCAGAGTGGAGAGTGAAGAGGGGAGAACAGAGAGTGGAAAGCGGAGAGTGGAGAGCGGCTGCCGACAAGTGAAGCGCGCGCATTTTGTTGTTGCGGGGCTCGGCTCAGATAATCGCTGCCTAATGTGCGCCCATAATGAAGTTCAGCGCTCATGATCAAGTTGATTATGTGCGAGCGAGCCCAGAGAGACATGCAGAGAGAGAGACACGAAAGCAAAGAGCGCAACATCAAATTGGAACAAAAGCCGCAACAAAAACAATAAACGAAGCACAGAAACCAGTTACAACTGATGTTTTAATATTGTGTTGCTTGTTGTTGCTGTTGTTGTTGTTGCTTCAAGCGAAGGTGGTTTGGCGCTGTGGTGATTGCTGTTGTTATTGGTTTTGCTTTTGCCTTTGGAACTGCGACGTTGACAAAAGCTAATGGCAAAGCAAAGCCAGAAAATACAAATAAAAATAAATTTGATTTACATGCGAAAACTACATTCAACCATAACGAATTCTCTATACACTCTATGCTACTCAAATGTAGGCTATCAAGAAGAAGAAGAGGAAGAGGCAGGAGCTTCTAAGCAATAATAAAAACTTTCAAAATGTGAAAATTATATTCAGAATCTATCTGTGTTAACTCTTAACATGTTCTACTGAATGGCAAGGATTCTAAAATTTATTTGAATATGATAGGCAGTTAATATGTTTTTATTAGACCATTGTGTTTCAGCCTGGGAATTAGTGAAACAAATTTAATATTGTACTTTAGCTAATAATTTAAAGAGTATAGACATTATATGGGGATTGTGCAAAAAATCAAAAACAAACAGCAAAACATACTTATACCGATTATGGGTCGAATTTAAAACCAAATACTTAACAGCTTCAATTGCTATTTAGTTGAGGCCAAATAACTCAGCAAAATGTGCAAAATCAACAAAAATAAAAATCGATTTAAATCAACTATTATATTTTTTGCAGGCTACCGCAAAGTATGCAACGTGAGACGATTCAAATATGTTTATATAAATATATATATATAACTATATACATATATGAACAATAGGTGAAATAAAATGCAAAGCATCAGCCAACTAATTAGGTAACTGAGTCAACGCCGTTTGCGCGTTTTAAACAGCGTCAAAAAAACGCGTAGAAAACGCCAACGTTTCAGAGGCAACAAAAGAAAATGTTTAACAAAGGCAAAGCAAATGGCTAGCAAAAAAGTATAAATAAAAATATAAATATATGTATATATATAAGATAAACAAGTTTAGCCATGCAAATTGACAACTAAAAGCGAAAACAAACATGAAAAACCGCATTGGCAGTGGCTAAGGAAAACGATGCCAAGCGAGCTTTGGCTAAGATTTTCCGCGTCTTTGGCTGTGAGTAGAGACTGTGTCTAATTTTTCGAGAGCATTGCCGGCGCCAAAGAAAGCCAGCTCGAGATTGTAGATAAATAATAACAATAATGAAAATGGAAAATAAATCATAGAAATTATGTACATGGCCAAAAAGAGCCAAGCGATTTTCCATTTCACATCGAAAAGGCCTCGCGGCACGACGGAGAAAGGAAAATGAAAACTGGCCAAAAACGAAAAGAAAAACTCTTGAGGCTGCCACTGGAAAAACTCGTTTACATACAAATCGTCGTAATAAAGCTGGCCATGCGAGCGCCCAAGAACTCGAAAGAGCCGCCGCGCTGCGGTCCCGCTCCCACTCCCGGACCCGCTGCCCCACCACGGCGTGTGCGTGGCCGTGGACGCGGAGGGGGCAGAGGCGCTGCCGGAACATCAGAGTGCAGTGGGTGTGCGTGTGTGTTGAGTGTGTCGAGTGGAGTGTGCAGTGTGGAGTGTAGAGTATGGTGTGTCGTGTAGCAGAGTGTAGTTGTAGTTAGCCGTTGTTGTCGTTGCAATGGAGTTTTTTATTACACACGAAATATTGTAGTGAGAGATAGAAGAGGAGTAGAAGAGAAAGAGGGAGAAAAGTGTAGAGGAAAATTACACAGAGACAACGACACATCACAGATATGTATATATGTATATAAGTAAATGAAGACGAAGAAGAAGAAGATAAAGTAAAATAAAGAAATACAAATAAAATCTTGAATTACTCGTAGAGCAAGAAAGTCGACATAAGAGCGATAGTGAAACGTAAACAAAATGCTAATAAAAGTCGTTCAACAAAATGCAAGTAATAATAAACATAAAATGGAAAATATATATATGTATATATAATTGTTGAGATGATGTTGTATGCAGTGATTCGTTTTAAATATGTTGAAGAAATGAGTCGAGTGGAGTCGAGTCGAGTTGTGCATATGTGAATATATGGGTGTGTGTGTGCGTGTGTGTGTGTGAAGTGGATCTAAACTGATGTGGGATGTGACTATTCGAATTTTGGGCTAGAAGTCCTACGAACTATTTGGAGGAGCTACGAAAGATGCATAGAGGAATGCAACTATAACTGTACATATATTGTCACTTCTATATTTGTGCACAATCTATAGATCTATATAGTCTACAAAGCGTAAATGCGATAAGGCACTGTCTATAGGGAATATACATATATATTCTAGCTAATACTTTGAACTCATTAGCTAAGCTTGTTAGCCGAGACAAAATAACGACCTTCTAGATTTTAAACTTTGCAAAGTTAACCGAACTTCTGGTATATGCATATATGTATACCAGTTTTAATATTCACCCTCTAAGAATATTATAATCTTCTTCAACAAAACACTCTAGATACAACTCATTTATTCAGCAGATATATATGGGAAAGTCCCCGATAACTTCCTCCAGAGTTATCTTGGGTCTTACATGTCTTAATATATCAAAATAAGACCTAGGACTACAAACTATCACAGTGCTAACAAAGTGTTATCAGTTATTGATAAATGGGTTCTTTTTTATATAGATATACTATAACGTTTACTTCCTGAAATATAGATATACTATAAAATTTACTTTATGAAGTAGAAAGATTTATTATAGAAACTATATCACAAGTGTAGCTAAATTTAAACTATGTTTCATTTACATTTTGGTAACAATCTTATCAGTGGGATAGAGTTGCTTGCGTGGCTTTAACTACGACTACGGCTTCATTTAACACTCGTCACAAATTCGACAAGTTTTTCTTTAATTAATTCAATTAGCGAAACGAAACGTTTATTGACTTTTGTATGGAACGAGTTGGGGACGTCACGTCAATTGACGATCTGGTCGGCCCGGGCTTAAGTTTTCAATTTCAAATTTCAATTTGGGGAAAATTGCATCCAATTAAATGCACCGCTACGAAGATGCGGATGAGAGCTAATGACGGCAAATGACTGACGATGAATGATGCAGTTGACAGACCAAATCAAAACTCATCGACAATGAATGCCAAATGAATGCGATGAATGATATAAATATGGACGGCTCTGGTTGTCGTTGTGCGCACTCACCTTCTGAGGGCGTCAAGAGTTTGACAAAATTATCGGGAAAGACGCCCACTTTGCCGTTCAGCTCGCCCTTCCACCAGCCCTTGTCCGGCAGCTCCATGCTGATGATATTGATAATGTCGTCCACCTTGAGCTCCAGCTCGTCCTCGTTCTGCGGCGCATAGGGAAACTCCACGCGACAAATGTCGCGATGTGGCTTCGGTGGTAACGTGGGCGCAGCAGCAGCAGTAGCTGCTCCACTCGCAGCGACTGTGGATGCCGTGGCTTTGTTTTTCGATTGCTTTGCTGTGGCTGTAGTTGCAGGTGCAACCGCTGCTGCTGCAGGAGCAGCTGCTGCTGTTGTTGCCGTTGTTGTCGCTGCTGCTGCTGCTGCTGTCGCTACGTTGGCAGCTTTTGCTGTTAGCGCCGATGTCGTGACCGTTGCACCAATGGTTGGCGGCCGCTTGGAGGCCAAAATCGGCGATGGCTCGATATGTTGCACAAAATTTGAGGGAAATACGCCAACTTTGCTGCGCAAACGTCCGCGCCACCAGCCTTCCTCGACCTAAATGAGAGCAAAACAGCACAAAAATACGTTCTTTTTTCGTATATTCATATTCGCTTTCAGTTCTGTGTTATTGGGTTGCGTCAAAACTTATTGGCAAAGAGGTTAAATGGGGGTTGTGGGCACTAAGTGTATGCGGTTTGTGGTTATATATATATGTACGCACACATACACATGGACAATCTGTGTGTGTGAGTGTGTGTGGATGTGTCTGTGTACATACCTCCCCTAGGAATTCAATGACATCACCCACGGCCAGCGTCAGTTCGTCGTCGTTGACTTGTGTGTAACTGTAGATGACTTTACAGCGACGGTTCGATGTCGCTGATTTCTCCCTAAGAGCGCAAAATTCAAATAAAAAGAGAGAGACAAAAGAGTGCACAAATTATATATGTGTAAATGTATGCAAAGAGAGAGAAAGACAGAGAGAGAGAGAGAGCGCATTCACTAATTCTGTTTACAATCAATGACACCAGCTGAAAGATGGCTTTAGAATATGTGCTCAGAACTAAATGCTTAAACATAAAATTTAATTTTAGTGAGAGACAATAAAATAAAGAGAATAAATCAGAGGAATTATTTGCTTTATAGATCATTTAAATTCTAGCTGTTAATCGAGGAGTTTAAAAGTTCAACTTAAAAAACTTTAAATGTTGAAATTCAGAGAATAAAAAATATATAAATTAAATTCTTTTTTTAAATTCAGAAACAATTCATCTTCACAAAAAATCGAATATAAATCGTTCTCTTATTCATA